ACCATTGGTAAACAACCACCATTAATTAATGAAGATCGTTCAAAATTTACTGTTCTTGCACGTATGCAACGTGTTGAATGTTCAATTATTGATATGAAACAAACAATGGAAAATATTTATATATTATTAAAAAATATTGATGATAAAATTAATCAATTATCGATTAATAATAACAATCATCAACGTACAACACGATCAATTATTTCAAATACAGGTGTAAAATTTTCTTCTATTGAATCAGAAATTCCATAAGATTAGCATCTATTTTGATTGTTGTTTTTCGAGTCTTGTGTTTTTTTGTTTTTTTGTTTTGTTTTTATTGTTCAACATAAATATAAAAAGAAAAGAAAATGAATAATCAGACAATTATTTTGAATATGATGATTCTTTTTTGAACAATAGAAGATCCAGAAGAATAAGTAATGCTCTTTCTATGTAAAACCATTCAATTTGACTATTTCATCAAATAAACATTTATATATTGTTTCCTATTATTGCTTGTATATGCTAAGTATCAGAAACAAGTAGATTAGATATTCTCATTCTGTCCGATTTATATAATTCATAAATAGTAGTGGGCCTGTTTCTAGATGATAGTCGTCTTTGATTTTGTCGATTATTTTTATCTGTTGGTTGTAAACTTCGACGAACAGGTAATGAAGCTGTCGCTTGTAATGCAGGTCTCTTTTTACTGGTTTGTATCGCTATATCTTCATATGAACGTGTACGACGTTTTAATATTGGTTTTCTTCTACGTTCATAATATTTTGATATCGAACGAGATAATGCGCTAGCTAATTGAACATCATTTGGTTCAACAATAATTGTTGTCGGTAAACATTCATCACCATTTGTTGTTATTTGTGATGATAAACACGGTGTTAAAAGATAATTTGATGTTTGTGAACAATATTTATATGAACTACTTCGTTTAGCAAGCTGATTTACATGTGAACGTATTGATGATGAACGTAAAGATGTTCCACAATCAGAAAATGAACTTTGTCGCCCAAGAACTATTTCTCCATTATTATTAATAAGATCATCAGTATCATCAAGAATAATTTTGTTATTGAAATTTTGATCAATTAAATTGTTTCGATTATTATTTTGTTGAGAAGTAAAACGTTTAAATGAAAGAAAACTATAGAATAAATAAGAGATGAGAATAAAAAGAAGAAATAATAAAAATAACGCTATAAATAAACCCGTTCGATCGGGTGTCATTTGAACAGGTGGAATAACAACTCTTTGTGGCTGATCATTCGTCGTTAAATTTGATTCAATCATTGTCATATTCGATACTTAAAACATAAAAATAAAAATTTCTTTTTTTCTTTTTTTTCATGTAATTTTCTTTTTTTAGTAAAAATAAAGTATTCTTTATGAATATATTGACGAATAGAAAGATAAATTAACGGTTTATTTGTTTCCTTCCGGTGAGAGTCACTTGTTGAGTCAATTCTTCTTAAAAACAGAGAAAGAAAATCTAACATAACAACAGTTTTCTCATTTAGATTAAAAAAAAACAATTTTTTCATTTAAAATAAAAGAAAAAGAATTCTTTTTTTTTTCTTAAGTTTTTATTAGATTTCTAAAGATGATTTCTTCCTCTTTATTTCCTTCTATCATATGTTGATCAAATAGTTTTTATTAACTCTTATTTGATTAGGAATTTTCAAAACAACAAGATAATTATAAACTCATGATTCACCTACCGATGATTTTATACTTCATATAGCTAGCGGCTGTGACAACTAATATTGTGCATCATTTTTTTTGCTGACAAACTTTCAATAATATTCTTGCTTTTCTCTTCTAGTTTTTTTTTTTATATAATAAGAACCAAGACAAGCCCTTTGCCCCTCGTCAGTCTCTTTTCTTTATCTAGTTTCATCGCCAACGGCTGTTCGAGTTCTCTCTTCTTCCGCTTTTTTTTCCGGTCGGCCCATTTCATCATATCTGGCTTACTCTCTTCATCATTCTCCCTGATGATTTTATTCTTCATGAGTATGTTCCTTTGTTGCTTCTTCTTCTTCTTTCTCGACATTAAATGAATGTATTTGATTATTCCACATTCATAATATAAGCATGCACATCGGAAAATTCTAGTTTTTAGTTAATAGTATGAAAACATACATCTTCATCAATGATTCTCGATAGATCAATAGTCGAACACGACAAAAACAAGACAAAAAAAGCGCAATTTAAATTTATCCTATGTTTACATGAAACGGAAGGACTTTATTAGAGATTAAAAGATTTATAATTTAATTTAATCTTAACAATTATAATTACATGTCTCATTTATATCACAGAATAAATGGAAGATAATAATATGTTACCAGTATATGTATATAAATTGATTATTAAAAAACTCTTCATAAGATATTCGAACTTGTGACTTTGAAGAATTATTGACAATACATTACATATAGAATCAAAATTTATATATATATATATTTACACAGATAATATATTAAAGATAGAATTAATTAAATTCTAATTCATCTAATGATAGAGCTCATAGGTATCGGCACTGAAATATCCCAAAAAAATGTTTTTCTCCAGGTGTTTTTCTGATAGATTCTAATTATTAGATTCATTGTCTATTCTAGCGTAAAATTCGCCTATCGATAAACATGATTTTGGTTAAAGTTGAAAACACAAGAAAAATATATTATTATTTAACTACTATATTATGTTCGTTGACTCTTTAATAAGCGTTATCCTATAAATTGTCGTATAATTTGCTATATAATAACTAGATTATATAAAACAACACATACATGATTTTTTGAATAAAGTGTCTATTAATTTAATAAAAACAAAACAACCGTTTGTATTTTATCGATACAATCACAGTTCAGTATCACAACAGACATGTGTGAAATTGTCATCATCCGTAATAATTATCGAGAAAAATCAAACAAACGATGTGTTACAATGAGGTCATTTTTTTGCTCACGGTATTTTGAGCTTCCTTTCTGTCAGATGTGTATCAGGAGGTTGTCAGAAGTATTTCCTGAAACTTAGTTTTGTTCTATCTCAACATGACCTTTTCGGCCCCTGTGGTTCCTCCCAGGACAAAACATTTTTCTCATATTACTCCAACATGATATTTACTAGACATTTTTTTTTCATGTTGACAACCAATATTATACTTGAAACTGAAAACGATCGATTTCTAACAGAGAAACAAACATACTACTAATAAATTGATAACGCAGTAGTTTTTCACCTCACAACTCTTTTTGCATATAAAAAATTGACTTAAGCATTGAATTTATTTTCTAAGTTATAAAATATTTGTCCAACTCGAAAATGATCTGATGTCAATAAGCCATATACATAGTTTGATGTAATTTTTCATGTTTTATCCGAATATGAATTTGAATTCGTATAGAAAGATTACGTCAGGCTTTCAGAGATTCCTTGCAAAAGACAACGTCAGAATTCTAAAGAGCTGAGGCTTTTCGATAATACCAATCTATTTAGCATATCTGAAAACCTATTTCTACGATTCTCTACAGACTTTAATCGATCACAACAATAGATATTCAGAATGTTCTAATAGATTGTCAAAGAAGCGAAATTTTTCCTTACGTTGAAGTACCAAATATATTACATGATAGAGTCAAGTAAAACCGATGAAAAATTGTGTGGAATATCTTTTAAGACGTGCTAAATACGATGATATTGCTGAAAAGCTAAAGTTTTTCAGAGAATCTCTTGAAATCTGATGTAATCTTTCTTCCTCGTCAAGAAGTATATAGTTCGATAAGAAGTCCGAAAAATCGCTTTAAAAAAATTTCTACGTTTTGTTTTGTGAAGTTTCAATTAACTGTAAATTTTTAAAGCTGATTTTACTTGGAATGGATAGGACAAACTGTGTTGTCCAAATATTTTATTTTTTAGGAAATAAACCTCATATTTAAGTATATTTCTTATATGCAAAAAAGAGTTATGAGTGAAAAACTTTTCTTTGATCAATTTATTAGTAATATGCGTGCTTCTCTGTTAAACTTCAATTGTTTTCAGTTTCAGATACGATATTCGTTGTCGACATGAAAAAACGCGGTCTAGTGAATATGATCTTTGAGTAATTTAAGAAAAGTTTTTTGCAAATCTTTGGGGAACTACAAGGATCAAAAAGGTCATGCCGAGATAGAGCGAAATGAAGTCTCGGGAAGTAGTCCTAATGTGTTTCTGATACACTTCCGATTGAAAGAGCAACAAAAATATCGTAGACAATAAAAACAAATAGTCTCATTGCAAGACCTTTTTTTAATTATTGTTTAGTTTTATAAATATTTCAGTCATATTTTTTCTGACATTAAATAGATTGTAATATTATTAAGACTAATTCAAATATGAAAATGAATCAGATAATTCGTTGAGACTGTATGATAAGCATTTATTTAATATATAGAAATAAAATAAAATATCTTTGATAGTATGTGGAACAAAATGTTATATAAATAGAAACATATTCGTGATGTTTTTCGATTACTATCTAATCATATAATCTCTTGCATTCACAAAAATGTGCTCATTACACATTTCTGCTTTGTCTTATTAATTCTCTTGTACACTCAATAACTCATCAAGCTATTGCTAACAGTTACAATTAAAGATGTTTCATCATCTGTTAGCCATAAACAGTATTTTACAGTTAGATGTTCCTTATAAAAAAAAAGTCTGTGAGTGTTAAGAAAATAAGAAGAATACGAAATATATTTCTATGAAAAGAATATAAGAAAAATACTTCATGCATATTATATGAAGAAATTTTTACAAAATCCTAGTACAAAAAAAGAACCGTCATGATAATTGCCAATAATATCTTTTATAAATGATTGATAAGCTGAAACTTGAGCATACAGACTAATTTTACCACAACCTCTTCCAGCACTAACTATTCCAGTGCATGTTCATGAATTATTAACACTAGTCATCAATGGATTACCACTATCACCGTAACATAAATCAGTACCATCCTAACCAGTACAAAGTTGAAGGCGACTTGGTGTAGGAGAACATGATGATGAACTGCTTTGAACTTGAATAACACCTTGAAGTAATTGATCTGATACAGTTGTACTAGTTGATGATGTTACTCCCCAACCAACAATAACAGCATGTTCACCAATACTCGGTAATGAAGTAACAAATGTTAAACAACATTTACCAACTATTGATGTTTGATCAAAGACTGATTGAAGTGTAAGTATAGCTATATCATTTGTAAAATCTGATGCTGAATAACTTGGATGAGTTGTTAAATTATAAACAACACGAGATTGACCACTACTTCGTGATGAAAGCGTTTGTATACCAGCATAAACTGTAATTGTACTTGGTGTTACACCTAATACACAATGAGCTGCTGTTACAACATGTTGATAAGATATAAGAAATCCTCCACAAAATACTTTAGCATTATTTATATAAAGTGCTACAATCCATGGCCAAGAATTAGCTGTTCCATATAACCTTGAGTTATTCTTGGTGTTAAGAATGATGGTTTTGTTGCAGCACATCCACATGTCGCTGCACCATAAGTACAAGCAGCTGTAGATGCTGATAGAATCGAATCAGTACTACTATTACTACTACTACTGCTTGATGAAGCACCATTTCTTCTTGATAAACCGACTCCAAGACCAACACCTAGTGCAATAGCTATAGCACTGAGGATTGACAAACCAACAACAACAGCAATAATAACAATAATAATAATTTTTTTCGACTAAATTTAGCTGACGGAGCAGCTACAGCATATACTGGCACAGAATAGTGCATTATTTATGTCGACTTGTTAACTAGATGTACTTTAAAAAATCAGTAAAGAACACGTCGGCTGTTTTTGTATTTTTTTTTGTAAAGTATTTTAACTCATCATACTTTATGATATCTCTTACCTGTTTACGGTGGAAAAAAGTTAATTATCCCAACTTTTCGTTTTACCTGGATTTTTATCAGGATATATGGAATTGAAATGACTCATAAATATGTAGCATCACATTTTTTTTCTGAATACCATTTATATAGGTGAGTATTTGTATGGATGAGAAAAAAACAAAACCCATGATAAACTTTTTTTCGATAAAGATCGCCTTGTATCATGCATATACATTTGTATCTTTCGCTTGATTTTACTCTTGTCAATGCTCTGGAATAGTGAAGCAAAAAATAATAGTCAAATATGCCGATCATGTATTGTAGTTTCTATATATCTCTGTTCGTAAGCAAAATTTCCATAAGGACAATTTTGTAACGTCATAATTGCATTTACATTCTCCAATGTATTGCTCTTTTGTGTATTTTATTCACAGAAGGAAGAAAAAACAGAATGTCAAGTTCTCAATTTATTTTGATTAATAAATGAAAAAAATAATGACTTTTTTTCTTCATCGTTAATAAAATAAATAGTTTTCTTTTTTTTTTAACATTGACTTTTATTGTCCCTATAAAAACGAGGATGGCAATCCCAAGTGATAAGAAAATAAAAGCTAGTAAATACAACAAGAAGCATAAGATAATATGCTGGGAACAAGGGCAGAAATGAATGGTATCATCATCATAAATCTATAGGCAGTGACATTTTATACTATAGAAGAATCAAAATGGAACAAGAGATAGAATAGAGAAAGAAAGGAAACTTGGTTGATAATAATGTAATGTGTTGTAAAAAGTAGATTAACAGATGAAAAAAGAAAAGAAAATTTAACACATTATATCATAATATATTCATCCTGTTCGGCATAATTTTTTTGTGGATGATGAATGTGTCACAACCAGGTATTTATATATAAAAAATAATATATTGGAAAAAATACATGTTTAAAGTATCCATATTGGTGAGTATGAAAGGTCAAAAATTCGAATAGATCAATTTTCGAATGATGTGCTCTCACGGATAACCGGTTCAAAAATTAACTATTTTTTTGCATATCTATGCTGAGGTACCAATTCTTTAAAGGAGTTTTTGTAACAAGATATGACATAAAAGTGAGTTGATATCGATGACCTTCCGCAGGAAGTTCTAGATGTTTATTGAATTTTGCTCAATACTTATATAAATAGTCATCTATGTTAGTATATAAACAGTAAGATCATCCTACAAATGGAGATTATATATTATGCGTCATCTTGAGCAATATACATCTTCAATTAGTCTTTTTTATACTTCAGTATAAAAAAAACCCAACATAAAAAAGCCGGATAATATGCGTAAAAGTATAAGCAAAGAACAATAATCTTCTTCGTTGATTCAGAGAAACTGAGTATTTTCTTAAACAGAGCTCGAAGAATGTGATAAATTTTTTTTATTTTTTTCCAAAGAACGTAGGATATATATTCCACATTCGAGTTTAGTTGTTATATCGACGTCTAGATACTTGAAACATTCAACAAAAACAATTTTTACATTTTTATATTTCATTATGGGATATAATGAAGCGACATCATTATGGACAAGTAAAACATTAGATTTTATTAATATTTACTGGTAGTAGATTATCATTCGCATAATTAGCTAATGTACTCATCGCCATCTTGGCTTGCCTTCCAAGTTTTACAATGTTTTTAGCAAAACAGTTCTTAACGGCTCCAGACATGACGGTGGATGTTTTCTTGATTGAAAGTACGGACAATGTCGAGTTACATTAGGGAAATAGTTTTACATCCTATTAACAAATTTGCTGGTGCTCCTCAAGATTCAATTTCGACAGCTGTACTCTTCCGACTCCGCGTTCATCTTCTCACTTCTTTCTTTTTGAATTAAGTATATCATCTGTCTTCAGGCGACCTCACCATCGTCATGTCTTAAGCAGTTAAGAACTGNAATATCTATCGGAACTGGAAGAAAAAATGAAAAATATTTAACACTATATTCAAATTTGAAACAATTAGGAATGTATCAAGAAGATCATGGTATTATTCATAATCGATTTTTTGATACGAGTATTAAAAAAAATGTTTCATTAGGTAAATAAAAAAGTACAGTATATCATTCATTGATTTTAAATCATATGTTCATAGATACTCGAGATGAAGGACAATGGTCTGATCCTAAAGTTGAACCTATATGGATCACAGCAACAAAACAAGTAGAATTTTTTTCTTCTTGTCAGATTAACTGAATCCTATCAATTTAGAATAAAAGATCTGCTGTAATTTATTGGCCAGCAGCTCAAAATATGTTTCATGGTATTCGTCCAATCATCTACAATGCGTTATATTCTGATGCTATTCCAATGCGTGAAAAAATAGATAATGCTATTAGTTATTTTCGTGAAAACCTTGTCCAATTAGCTATGCTTTATCATTCGTAAGTTAATATAAAAGAACATATTTGAAAATAACTTCTTTTATTATTAATAAGTGAACCCGATCAACAAGGTCATTGGTATGGTCCTGATTCAATTGAAACTCGTGAAGCAGTTAATATTGTTTTATGTTGAATTATATGTATAATTTGTATGTTTTTTTTTTTATAGCTTTTTCGTCTTGATGACGATATTGACTATTTATTAAACAAAGTCAAAAATGAACTTAATAATGACTTGAACATCATTGTTCTATCTGATCATGTATTATATAACAAAAGCAAAATCTTGAAATATACAAAATTGATAAATCTAATCTTGTTTTTTTATGTTAGGGAATGACAAATATTACACAACTAATTCAACCATTTCGTGAAGGTTATATTAATAGGTCAGCAGTGGAAGATAATATTCTCGATGGTCCAATATTTAGTGTTACTCCTCGTGCAGGACAGGTAAGTTTGTCTAATTAAAATAAAATTGTTTTAATGATCAAATAGTAAAATATAAAATTCATACTTTCATGTCGAAATAAGATCTTTGTGAAGTATAATTTTCAATTGAGAGTATTTATTGGAAAATGTGTGAGACGATGAGAAACTGTCAGACCAGAAACCAAGATCACATTGGATTTGTTGATACCACTAGAAAAGAAAGTATGAACACCTGTGAGAAAAATCAGTAGAACAGAAATCAGAAGAAGTTTGATTCTCGTATATTGTTAGAAAAGATACGTTTAATGATAAGTTTTCAAAGTTCAAATATCTATATACTCAGGATAAAAAGTTTTCTGACACGAATGCTTTCAATTCAAAAAGATACATCGAATAAAAGAATTTTTGCATTATTTCAAAAATAGTTTCAACAAGTATTCGATGGTTTACGTCGAATTCCTGGTGTTATAGTTTACAAACGTGAAGATTTTCCAGAACAATATCATTATTCAAAAGCAACTTCTCGAGTTGGTGAAATAATTGTTGTACCTAATAATGAAGGCGTCCTTTTTTCACAAGTAAAATTACCTTTTAAACATAATCCTTGATATATGCACAAGTTTTTAATGCCTTAGGCACTAACAATTGTACCCTTTTCAAAGGGTAATCATGGATATGATAATACACTTCCATCAATGCAAGCTATATTTATGGCTCAGGGTCCAGATTTTAGTCAAGATCTTGAAATATATTCACTAAAAAATGTTGATGTTTATCATATTGCTTGTAAAATTTTGAATCTTAAACCGAATCCTTATGCAACAGCTGGGTCACTTAACAATTTAACTGGCATATTTCGTTCGAGAATGAATAAATGTTCTCAATCATTCATAAACATGTCAGTACTAATATTCTCGAATTGTTTGTATTTTTTTATAAAAATTTGAATGAAACAACGAGAATAGTTATATAATTCTGATACTTTTTCTTTATAAATTAATAAAATTATGAACTTTGTATTTAGTGAAGTTTTCAAAAAACAAAATTCAGCATGTTACATCTAAAAAATAAAAAATACACAATAATTTTATAAGAGACGAAAGAGAATATGTATATATATATATACAACATATATGCTTTTTATCAATATTGTCAAAAACACTTCATTTGAAAAAAAATTATTTTGTTATCTAAATAAATTTTCCAAATAGTCTTTATTCTACCATATGATATTTACAATATTTAAATGGCGTGTAAAATAAAAGGACGGCTTTAACCAATTAAATAAATAAAATATTTGGTATATTTGATGAAAGTGATCTTGAGGGTGTGGGTGTGAGGCGACTGGGTGCGAATGAGTATAGAAGGAAAGCAGAAACACCCTTAGCCACATCCACACCGCACCCATACCCACCCTCACCCACACTCCACACTTCACACCCACACCCCACACTCACCCACACCCACCACCCAGACTCACACCTACCACCCACATCCACATTCACCACTCACACTCACCGCCCACACTCCGAGTAATGAGAATGATTCTGTCAATTTTCGCTGGAAAATCAGATTTCTAGAAAACTAGTAAAGAAGAATCGTGTGATATCCATAGAGGAAAACTAATTTGTTTTTAATGTAAGGCTGTGTTTGGGCTCATAAAACGTTACCATTAGAGTAGATAAAACAAAAATTGAATAATTTGAGAATTTTTGGTCTAGAAAGAAGGTCTCCTTAACTCTACAAGAAAAGATTGTACTAATCAAAATGGTCAGGATTTTTCAGTTTCGAATAGTTTACAGTGAAAGCATCTCCGTCGACCAACCTTTCATAAAAGACTTCGGAATATATGTTTAAATCGTTTGTGAAATATTTTATGGCAAGAATAATAAACTAAATATAAACTAATTTAGAGATTAAATATTGTTTTTAGTGAAAAAACGAAACAGAATGTTAATTCAAGAATAAATATTGATCAAATATAATATTTTCTTTTGTATTCGTAAATATTCGATAAGAGAAACAAAAGAGTTAAAATTATATATTACGAAGTTTTTTTTTTTGTATTTATTGAAAAGATTTAATTTATTGTCTCATTTGAAAAAAAAACGAATAGAAATAATTCTATTTAAATTTTTAAATCGTATTAAATATTATTTTTGATTTGTTTAAAGTATTTGCAGTAATAGACGTCAGATAAATTTAAAGTTAAAAGTGAGAAAAAGAGAGACGATAATCGATTTATATTCAAATCGAATATAATAACGATTAAAAAACTATCTGATGAAGATTATGATGAACATTTACGGTATCTACTAGATTTTGTTGATGATAAATTTGAGTCTGATTGTTCAGCTATTAATGAACTATTGGAAATTATTTTTCATACAGAAGAAAATAAAAATTAACTTGTCCATTTTAATAATTATTTAGATTTGGGATTCACTTATAACAGTGAACTTAGTGATGATGAAAATTACGAAGACAATCGATTTTTGAAATAATCAGTAAAGTAGAAAGTCTTCTGTTTTTTTCTTTATAAAAGATGATTTTGTTTTATGAATAAAAATTACATTAAATAAATGGATCATTTAAAGTAGCTACTTTATAACTATGAATTGATCAGAAAAAAAAACAAACTAGAAGGTTTCAGTTCGAGTTGCAAAGATAGAAGAAGAAAAAGAATCTTTTTTCAGTATAAGTTACATTATAAGGCAAGTGACTTGAGTTTCTACTATAGAGAAGAGCTTTCATTATTCAATAAATTTATCTCGATTATGATAATTCTTAGTTTTGTTATTGTAATGATTGATTCTATTAATTTGAAGATAAAATTTTTCACTGATATATATTCATTTATTAATTTCGGAATCAATTCGATTAAAACAATTCAATAGATCATTCCTTCCTCTTCTCGTACAGTGGTAAGACGTATCTGTTCTTACTGCTTCTATTCTGTGCATATTACTCATCCTTTTTCTGGTCCTTTCTCACTTGAGTCTAAGGCTAAGGCTTTTGATTCGGGTGGTCAATGACCTCTACTGGGGGAAACCCACTCAGTGGTACAATTCTACAGCAACNAAGTCGAACTGGCAATGTCTTGGTTGTGTTGTTTTCGTTCTTGCCAAAGGGAAAAATAAAAAGAGGCAAGGTATCCAACGCGTTGACGCTCGAGTGATTGTGTAGATGAAAAGCAAACAGAAGTTGGAAATAACCATAAAAATAAATAATGTTGTTAGATTTTTTTCTTTCGTTTGTTGTTGACAACCATATTTTCACTTGTAACTAAGTGAAGTTTCTTCTTGACTGTTATTGAAACAAAAAGAAACAACCATCATCAAATTTATAAATCGAAAACAGTGGTCTCTGTTCAAACAATAATCTACTATTATCATACTGAAGTACACTCTAAAAAAATAGGTACATTCAGAGCTGGACAAGTTGAAGGTTTCTCAAGTCACAAGTCAAGTCAAGTCACTAAAAAAACTTTCAAGTCAAGTCAAGTCACTAAAAAAACTTTCAAGTCAAGTCAAGTCAAGTCACGTCAAGTCACGTCCCAAAATTTTTTCGATCAAGTGAAGTCAAATCAAATCAAGTCCCACCTCAA